AGGATTTTGATGATTGTGTTTGAACATTGTGCTGAACATAAATGTACAGCAGCAGATGTACACAGCACCAGATTCATAATTATTCTTGGATTTCTTATATCTAAAGAAATGCCATTTCTAATATTTTCTGATGTCTTTACAAACTCCATTAGAATATTAAGGTTTAAATTTTTTAAAGTGTAATTTAATTACCTTTTTTTCTTTTCAGGCTTTTGAAGGAACACACAAGATTTAAAAGTCATTAATTTTTAGAAAATAAAAAATTTTCGTTAATTTTGTAGGCTAACACTCTGTAGTGTGAAATATAGTATTGAAACATATAATTAAGAAAAATACTATTTATTAACAGTTATATGAGTACACAGCTGGTTTTCTTCCTTGAAAACATTTTCATGTACCATCTAAAAGATACTTTGGGGGATTATTTATAGTTTATACTTTTCTTTTTACAGCTTTCTTCTATGCTTATTTTACTAGACTTCTAAGAAAAATTTGGATAACTGTAGGAAATAAACATTTGTATCTCATTTCAATGTAGTTCAATCATTTAAACAACTTTATTTATTCATTTAAATTATTTTTGTTTTGAGATAATTGTGGATTCACATGCTGTTGTAAGAAATAACATAGGGAGATCCTCTGCTCCTTTTACCACACTTCCCTCAATTGTAATATTTTGACAACTATAGAACAATATCATATCCGGCATATTGACATGGACACAGTCAAGACAGGGAACATTTTCATCACAAGGATTCCTTTTGTTACCCTTTTATAGCCATACCCATTTTCCTCCTGTTGACCTCAGCACTGCTCTTGGCAACCACTGATTTGCTCTTCACTTCTATAATTTTATGTCAAGAATTATGTAAATGGAATCATGTACTGTGTAACTTCTGGGATTGCCTTGGTTCACAGCATAATTCTTTGGAGATTCATCCAAATAGTGTGTATATCTGTTGTCAAATAATAGTCCATGCTGCTGATGTACCATAGATTAATTATTCACTCATCAAGGACATCTGGGTTGTCTCATGTTTTAGCTGTTATAAATAAAGCTGCTGTAAATATTTGTGTAAAAGTTGTTTTGCATATACAAGTTTTTATTTTTCTGTGATAAGTACTCAGGAGTAGAATTGCTGAATTGTATGTTAGTTGAATGTTTAAGAAACTTTTTGAAGTGGCTGTACTATTTTACATTGTCACAAGTAATGTATGAATGATCCATTTTTTTCCACATCCTCATCAGCATTTGGTATTGTCACTTTCTTTTATTTTAGCCATTCTGAGTGATGTGTAGTCACACTTCATTTTGATTTTAATTTACATTTCCCTAATGTTGAGCATCTTTTCATTTGCCTATTTGTCATCTGTATATTCTCTTTGGGGAAATGTCTCATGTCTTTTGCTGTTTACTAATTGGATTGTTTTTTCACTGTTGAATTTTGAGAGTTCTTAATGTACTTTAGATACTAGTCCTTTGTTGGCCGTGTGGTTTACAGATGTCTTCTCTCACTCTGAAGACTCTTTTCATCTTTTTAACAGGGTCTTTTGCAGAATAAATGTTTAACTTTGATGAAGTTGGATTAATTCATTGTCCTTTTATGGATCATGCTTTTGGTGTCACGTCTAAGAACTTGTTGCCTGT